AGTACGACATGCAATCGTTTATGCGTACATGTATAATTCAACATATTTCTAATGGGTAATAAATGTACAATAGACACCTTTGAAGTTTGCCTCGAGTACAAGAATATGTTATTTTCAGTGATAAAAATCTTAAGATTGGAAATTTCTGATTGAATATTTTCAGACTAAGCACAGAAATGTATACGACAGAAATTCATGCGTTCTTTGGAAGATTTCCAAGGTTGTTAAATGGTTAGATTTTCAGGAAAATCGAATTCACATCAATTTTATAAATATACAACTTGAAGTCAGAATAATTCAACAAATACGGAAATAAGGGATTATTTTCAATAAACAGACACTCGAATCACTATTTATTTCAACAAAATTTGGTACACATTTTTTATTAGATTCATAAAATGCATGGATATTAAATTCAGTTCTAATGCAAATTCCTCCAAATTTCACATGGGTTTTGATATAGCAGTCATTCTATCAGCGTAAAATGGGAACCTATGTTTATACTGAGGCTAAGTAAAAATCGGTCTCTTAACGTTAGCACGGGATTTTATCAACTCGTATCACCAACCTGGAGTAAATAAGAGCAGGAAACCATGGACTTTACACATGCTTGATCAGTTTAGGCATGTGATTGAAATAAAACGTCCAGAGAATAAAGTTTAATATTTTTATGTTGCACTTTTGAAACAAATATATACAATTTTAAATATTTCAACAAAGATAAATATAACAATTCGGTGCTCATAAAAACAAAGAAAACAAGTCCTCCATGATAAAATTCGAACTCTACACTTAGTTTATATTCACAATCTGTCTGTTTTGTCTTTGGGGCTGTTGACAATGTTCTCTCTGTTTTCTAAGTCCATTCCTTTTCCTTGTCGTCTGTGTCTTTTAAATGTATTGGATGCGATGTACAGCGTCATAAGAAGGACAGATACACCCACAAGACTGACAATGGTGTATCGGATAGGTGTCGCACTATCTTCCTTTGAGAGTGCAATGGATTCCCTTCGCACATAGTCATCTTCTTTTCTAGCTGTTCTTGGGACACTCTCTTGCATCGCATTACTCTTGTTTATAGCTGAGAATAATTCTGTTTTCTTCACAAATGGTTTCTCTGTTTGTAATTGACCTGGAATATAGAAGATTGCTAAACATGATGTACATGTATGCATTTATTTGATACAAAACTTTTCCCCTGTATAATAAGTTGTATCTTACAGTTTGTCATAGACATAAACCTTTCTTCATGTTCAAAATAACAATGATTCTGTAACAAAAAAAAAATGCTCAAGCCATCCTTGAAACAATGTTTGTTGGCTTTTCCCGAATCAGGATTTAGAAAAAAAGTGGGTCGGTAGCTTGGGGGATTTTTTCTCCTCAGACATTTAATTTTCATTTACAAAATGTTATAGAATTGAATTTAAATAAAATTTGAATTTATGTTGAAGAGATGTGAAAATTCCGTAATTAATGATAATAATAATTAATAATAATAACCAATTCTTGAAGGTTTAAACACGTTTTGGATCGGGCCATTTTTTACTAGTCGGTCGGGAGAGGGCAAAAAAACTTTTTAAAGATGACCTGACAGTTGGTCCGTCTCTATACATGTACTAGCAATCCATCATTACATTCACTTTTACACAAACAAGCAAAAAAAAAAAAAAAAAAAAAAAAAAAAAAAAAAAGAGAGAGAGAGAGAGACTGAGAGAGAAAAGGAGTTGGGGAAGGGAGAAAAAATATGCTGTAATAAAGGTTGATATTCTATGGATATAAAAAAGGTCCTCTGAAATAAATAACTTTTATTCTTAATAAGCATAATTTTGAAAGAAACAGTAATTTTTCAATCTTTATGTATTTGTTGTGGGGATACACCTTTTAAGGCTGTCTTACCTGAATATTTTTCTTTGATACATCCTGTACGTTTGTTACATTTCTTTCGTTCACAAAGACATCTTCTCTGGCAAAATCTTCCAAATTGAGGATAGGGACATGGTCGGTTGCATTTAGGACCAAAATATCCCAAAGGACATGCTAATGAAATTAAAAACAGAGTTTACATGTATCTTATTCACAGATTTCTCTTACAGCAAATAGAAGCTGTTCTTACAAGTGTTAATTCTGGGTATGGTCATACAAGTTTATGATATATAGATTAAATCGAAATATTTCCTTTGCTAAACATTGTTATTGTTAACAACTTTGCATAGGCGGTATTACAGACACATAGTATTATTCGTGTTTTCCAGTTTAACTTTTTTACTGCTGAAAAATGAAAAGCTCCCGCCTTTTTGGTTGCAATATTGTAAAATCATTATGATAATAATGCGGGAATGTATCTGTAAGACAAACTTTGATTAAGAAATAAAGTTGCAATCTACCACCACACCAACCCATCCCTTCTCCCCCTTTACCAAGTTTGGAAGTTTGAATACCTTTTTTGGCTCGTCATTTTTCCCCAGTTAGGGTTGTTGACAATTTTTTTTATCTTAGCAGACTGCCCCTTTTCAAAAACAATACTACATGCCAGGCGCATCTGTCTTATGTAATAAATAAGGTATATTTGGGAAATATCATAGTACAGGTAAAAACATATTACTTACCAATACATAAGCCTAAATTCGTATTCAACATAAAGCCGGCACAACAAGGACTTGGTCTTTCGTATGAAATTATAAGAAATATCAGACGCATTGATTTGATGAATTTAACAAAAACATTGATTTTTCAAAGATTAAGTTTTTGTTTTAAAAATAGCATTCTCTTTTACCTTCCTTCACAATGAGTTTCATTTTTTATATTAACTTGCAGAGAAACTTTCAACATAAACAAGAAAAGTAATATTGAGTTCATGGTTAAAATTCCATCACACTGAGTTTTCCATGGGAATGTTTGTCTTTGAGGAAATTGATCGTTAAATGTTATTAGGCGTTCCATTTCCTGAGGAAGTTTTCATGAAACATATTAACAACGATTATAGCCACATGAAACACTTCAGAGTACACCCTTCCCGATTACATTATGCACAAATTAGTTTAAAGGTTATGGTTGATATTAGATGAGACTTTACACGCAAAGTTTTTTTTTTTTTTTTTTTTTTTTTTTTTTTTTTTTTTTTTTTTTTAAATTTGTTGATGATTTCGAGACTCATGAAACCTTACAAATATTATCTATAAATAAAAAAAGATACAGAAAATGTAATGACATTATCAACATCTTCAAAAGCACAGTTAAAAACTTTGAAGAACAAAAAATTAATCTTCTCTCTCTCTCTCTCTCTCTCTCTCTCTCTCTCTCTCTCTCTCTCACACACACACACACAAATAAACATACAGTGTATCTGTTTCTTAAAAAAAAAAAAAAAAAAAAAAAAAAAAAAAAAAAACACATCGATAGGGAAAAAACAGACAGTTCTATCCATATTCAAAAGGTAAATATAAAATTTAATGATCAATGCAAATAATTTTTCATTTTTTTTTTTATAATATTGTTCACGAATTTAAAGCTTTTTTCATGTACACATGTGCATCAGGAAGAAAATAAAATGCAAAATGATCGTCTTCTGCTTCAAAGGTATGGTAAATACGTACATGTATTTCGAAGGAAAAGAAATCCTTTGACAACTCTTTGTTGTCTTCAAAACTTCTTCAGATAAACTTAAGTAATTTGCAGCGATTTTCATAATCAACTGTGCATCAGTCGCACATAGGAGTGTGGAAGGGAATTTTTCGGAATTTCTTTAAAATAAATTTACGTCTTAATTGAATGTCATTTAAAGGAGGAGTGAATCCCGCCAACTCCTTATTTTTTGCTCCTTCCTATCTTATCCTCCGAGAAAATCTTTTCATTCATTTGAATATTAATATTCTTTCGGTAATTTGAAAGGAGAGTCTACTTGCGCGGATTTAGAGGGGGTCGGGGGTGGGGGTGGGGTGGCAGGAACCCCCCCCCCTGGAATTTGCAGACTTATGAAAAGTATATACTGAAGCTTATAAAAAATGACTTTGGATCCTCTCTCCCAGAAAACGTGGACTCTATCATCATCAGCTTGAAATATGGTTTTTTTTTTCACATTTATATAAATTTTATATTCAAGTAGAAAGGATTTTTATATTTATAAAAAAAAAAAAAAAATGACTTCAAGTTGAAACATTCCGCCCCTTGCCAAATGCATTCATTTTAATAAATTATTAACGACCAACAAAGAAAATCAATAAACTAATAGATGTATATTTAATATTTCTTGCAATGTAATACTGATTGAACACTTTTTCTCAAAATAATTTGTGTCTTGCAATTACCTCAGTGGGTTACCGAAGACAAATTGTGAATCTACTTTCGTTTTAGCTTCAGGTAACCTGCATTTGATATATCGGGTATTTATAGCTTGAAAACTACCGTGGCTATAAATAGTTTCATAAATACTTGTAGTTCGTTGATTATTACCCGTATTCCTTCGAATAACATTTTTTTTTTTAGTTATGAAAATACAAAAAAATGTAGTTTTGACTAAATAACAATATACACAAGATAATAACTGTTTTTGCTGCTGATTATTTGTATAAATGCCGAAGCAGATTGTTCTTTCGTCTGATAATTTTTGAGCTAAATTTAGATTGAAAATTTTGTGATCATCCATGGATAACATCATATAGAGGAGCTTTTACCTGCAGAAAATTTACAAAAGGTATTTTTTCACATTTTTTTTTTAATTTAATTAGTTAAACACTGTATATATAAATGATATTTCGTAAAGTGTGCATGAATTCACATCCAATTTTGCCTATGAATTAAAACTAATCTTTCAGTTAATTTCCTCACTTTGTTTGAATTTTTAATACAATTATTAATTAACTTAAACACGCAGACGATGTTTATACGTTTGACAAGTGTTAAATTCGTTCAAAAAATATAATTAAAAAAATATTGCAATATGTTTCTTTATTATTAGCATTTTATGGGGGAAAAAAATCGCATATTTTTTTTTTTCTAGCAGAAAAAAGAAGATATGGATTTGTATCGTGGATTTCTTAAGTTAACTTTGGTGATGTTCCTACTTGTGCAAGAGGTTGGTATCAAAAATGTATTCATATTTCATCGATCTCGTAAATTCATCAACCAACCTCCCCCCCCCCCCCTCCTTCAAGATTTCCTAAAAAGAAAAAAAAAGAAAAAAAATGAATATATATATATATATATATTTATATATATATATATATATATATATATATATATATATATATATATATATATATATATATATATATATATATATATATATATATATATATAGGTGGGGAAAACTGAAATAAAGTAGTACTAAAAATGTCGTAACAAAAATGATGAATACTGAAATTCCTCACTCAAGTATTCCATCTTTATAGGGGTACACACCTTGAAAAAAATTGCTCTTTGCCAATGCATAATCAAACTGACAATTACCTATATTACATGTACATGTATAATTGGACATGGACCATAATAAAAACCTCATCATTTCCAGTCGGGCTATCTTCGATTGTGGAGAGTTCCACTTACTCACATATAAAAGTATAAGAAGACAAACAAATCCGATCTCATGTACCAAGTGTACCAATCTGTTGATTTAAATCCCACAAGTTCGAGTGTTGTTGATAAGCATTAAATACTCTACGAAACCTTTATTTTCCCAAATGCGCAAATATCTGACGATCATCTAGAGAAATTTTATATTAATTTACAGGTGTTGGCATTCACGAAGTGTGAGGTCTCAGTACTTACCGTTAAGGTAGTTGACGCATGCCCAACCGACGAAGAGTCGTGGAGAAAGGCAGCAGAGAGATTCAATTGTTCATCTATTCCTCAGTCGTGTTCACAATCATCTGGAGACAATGCTCAATATTTTAAATTTCAGTATCATTGTGTTATCAACGCATGGAGAAATGCGACATTAGAAGTATGCGCACCTAATCGCACTATCCTTGGTAGGTAAATTTTGAATTTATAAAAAGAGCATGATACTTTTGTTAAAAAAATGACGCATGTATACATGTACGTTTAACAACACTTTTGACTCTTTCCAGGCTTTTGTACAGAATTCAACTTACAAGGGGCATTAATTCAGGACAACTATGACGCAGAGTGCACAAAACATAATCCACCATGTCCAACCAGTTATAACTCAGCGGAGGCATACAAATGTAACTACTCCCTCATAATACATGCACATTGTATTTAATAGTATGATGATGCTGAATGTCCTCTTATGTGTGGAGTTTCTAATTTGCTCTTTCCTCAGAGAAATTAAAAAAAGAAAAAAAAAAAAAAAAAGAAACAAGATGAAGGGAATATGACACATTACATTGAGCAAACAAAAATTTCAGATATTCACATATGTTCGAATCTTAACGAAAAAAAATAATTTGGATACTTTAACACATATTGTGGCGTGGAGGGGATCAGATACCAACGCGTAAATCACCCGGCGAAGAGCTTAAAATTTAGACATTTAATCTTCAGTGTGGCAGCTTCTGCTGTACTGTGTTTTTTATCCGAAAGACCGAAACTTTCATCTTAATTGTCGCAGAGCTCTTGTTACGAAACAGTTGCTATCGATTTTTTCTGTAGAATTAGGTTTGTCACGACTTGATTTCTGATAGAGCACTTTACCGTATAAGCAACGGTTCCCATGCGATTGTACAATAAAGAAGGCCCCAAAGTGCGAGGATGAAAAATAATTTAATTGACTTGTCAGTTTTCTTCTTTCGATTGGCGTCAGTAAAATATTTCTGAAGTTCTCCAAAAAGAAATAATAGACTACGGTCGGAAAAAAAAGAAAAATAGGAGAAGTGACCACCGGAATAATGACTATTCTATACTCTGTCAACTGTGAGAATTCGTGCGAACATGTTTTGAGGAGAAAAACTTATTATTCATTTTGTCCTACCTATATTTAAACGCTTGCCATTTTTTAAAAATAAATGCTGAGTTTCTTTAATACATGTAACAGTCTACATGTATATATTTTTTTTAAATTCAGATCAAACGTGCTATGAAATGGTCAAAGAAAACCGACTGAGAAACAAGCAAGAGAGTAAAAAGGAAAATATTTCTGGATATACAAGTTTATCGTCATCAAACAGGTAAAATGAAATTCCAGTAAATCCGAATAAACTATATGAATCAAGAAAGAAAAAGAAAAAAATGGCTGTATAAAACATTATTTAAAAAAGAATTGCATTCGCTATTGATACAATGTATGTTCATGTAATATGCAACCCTTTATTCTGCAAAACAAAAGTGTTATCTTTTTTTTAGGATAACTGGACATCTTGATGTGATTACTTACCTGCTTCTCTTTGAAGTTGTTTTAAGACATTTGTGATAGTGACCTAGTTTGTAATATTAATATATGTATAAATGTTTGAATATATGTACATGTACGTATGTATGAACGAACGTTTCGACTTATGCATCGTATGTATGTTTGTATGCATTAATGTATGGGTTATTGTGTGAATGACGATGGATTGATCTGCATTGGAAAAAGAAAAAGACGTATGATCAAAATACTATGTAAAACTTTATTACCCACCCAATTTTCCTCATTATTAAATTGGGAAAAGATCTTACTTAAAAGCCATTTAAATTGTAAATCATTTCATACATATTAAAAACAAAATCTTTAAAATACGGAAATTTTTAAAACGGATTCTGTAGTGAAATGTAAGAAAAATCATTACTTAGAGAATAGGGTTCGGAGATGATTTGACTACTGTTTTTCCTTTGCCAAAGAACCTTTTGATTGTTTAATTTTAATTAAAACGTGTTTAATCGATGTTACACGGAAATCAACGAGGATACTGTCCTGGCAATAACTCAAAGGAGAGTAAATTGAATTTTCTTGCAATATCTTGTTTTAACACAGTGGTATTTTAATCATGTTATCTTTTTCAAGATCTTATTTTTGAAGATTTTTTTTTTCTAAAGCGGATGATTAATAGAATTACCTCGAAGGAGATTATTGGAAATAAACAGACTGCAAAATCTGCTGCATGCATCCTGTTGTTTTCTTTCTAAGTGATGGATAATTGAACATATCTGTTTATTGTATAAATGTATATATTTTTTTTATTAGTGTACACGGCATTTCCTGTAAAAGATGAAGAGTTAATAAAAGGCGGTTATTTTTATTTTTCAGCTTTTGTTTGAAGATGCAATCAACCTGAGATTATCTTTTTATCTAAGCATTTAAGCTCGTGATGAGTAGAAGGTAAATGTGTTCACTATGGAGGTGCTATGAAACCTTGCACAAAATTTAAACATACATAACCCTGAACACGGGTCTGTAGAATAGATATATTTCTTAATGTAAAAGAAATGTATAAACTTTATATACCGGATACTAAAAGGATTATTTTGTTGTTTTTTTTCTAAAGATCTCAAACAGTTGAAATAATGTACACTGTATTTGCTGTGTAAAATTAAATATTGCCTTACATAATTAAACACTGTAGTTGTCAACAAACTTTTTAGTCTCCTATTAAAAAAAAGTAGGAGAGCCCGCCGTAGTCATTGTAAAACATATAATAAAAGATCAAAAGTAAATTTCGGAACCATTCACTTTTCTTCATTGATTTGTTATGCATTTTCAATATATTCTTTTTATATGTTTAGAGTCGACCCAAAAAAAAACAAAAAAACCTATCTTTCCATAGAAGAAACATGGTTGTCTAATCCCTACTACAATTTATAATAGGGCCTTATTTTGTACAGGCTAGACGATGACACACGAGACTTCAGACAGAATAATATCGTCAGATAATAATAAAACTGACATCAGTGGTATTCTTTATACAGAATGCACCACCGTAAATCGAGCATGCCTATTCCAGAAAAACTAGGAATAGTTGCTCGAGAGAGCTAGCCAATAGCCAATTTTATAACAATGCTGTAGAATAACTCTTATTCCATTTATTTCACATTCATACATATATATATAACGTTTCCCTCTTAATTAAATTATACTATCCCTTATATTTCGTATTTGCGCATTAAAACGATATCACCTAGAATCAACATATATACATTTTATGTTGCACATAAATGAGTAAAGTTAACGGAAAGCACTGACTTAAATTCATATTTCCTTCTACACAGGAAAAGCTTAATTTTGTATTTTGATCATATTGAATATATTTTTGAAAGTTTAATAGATTGAAAATAAAACCAACTTTTCTGTATCTAAAGATGTCAATTTTTACGGTTTTATATTTTATATGTGTTTCATCATTATTTGATAATACATCATCGCAAATACTCTGTGAAGGGTAAGTTAATTTTGTTTTTTATATAAAAAAATTTACCGCACAGAAAGTATCAAATAAGAATTACATTTACTCTAGTATTAAAATAAAATTAAGATTTTTTTTTTTTTTTTTTTTTTTTTTTTTGGGCAAATCGATGCATCCTCTTCTGTCCAGTTAAGTCATTTTTAGACCCCCTTTCTCTCCATTTACCATTTCTGTGATTAATTAAAGATTCTACACTGAATATGCTCTTAGAAATAAATTCTGATATTTTTTTATAGGAACTTGGAAGAAAAATATTATTTTATTAGAAGGATCTTAAGTTGAATGTTCCAGAAAATTTGAAAATCAACCGCAAAATCAGCCATATCCTTCCCCTAGGCCCCTGTATGTGTGCTTGTTTTTGTTTTTGGTTTTTTTTTTTTTTTTAATTCTTTTTTTTTTCTATAAGTTACTAATTTTGAATGTTAATCATTCTATATATATTGATACATTTTAAGACGCAAATGCCTTACAATTTTTAACAGATTTATAATAGACCACTACAGTTAAAAATGTTTCTGACGAAGGTCACTATTCTTATAATAATTGGCAATAATGAACATTTGATATAATATGCAAAATCAAAAGTGTGGCTTCGTTTTTCGTTTCAGATCTGAATGTTGCTCAGGGTATATGTATGATGTGAACTCCAGCAACTGCATTGGTAATAACAGGCACGTAGTATCGGATGGGTGGGCGGGTATGCGGGCTGCACCCCAATTTTTTTCCAAACATAACCTTTTATTATTGAAAATGTTCATTGAAAGACAGGTTCCCCCTCCTCCCACGTTTCGTTGCAGTAAAGTTAAATCATAGTAATTTGGTTATGTATCAATAAAGATTTGGTTGTGAAAGGAACATAGCCAAATCCCCACCCGAAATAGGGTTTTCATGTTGGGAGAATTTTCCTTTCTGGTTTTTTTTTTTTTTTTTTTTTTTTTTTTTTTTTTTTTTTTTTTTTTTTTGTTTATTTTTTTTTCCCTCTTTTTGTTTTTGGTTTTTTTTTGTTTTTTTTTTGTTTTGTTTTTTGTTTGCTTGTTTCTTTTTTTTTCAGGTAAGTTGTCATTTTTTTTCTGCCCCCCCCCCCCCCCAAAAAAAAAAACGATTCTACGTGTCTGAATAATATTTACTTTCCCTACGCTTTTTATTATACTATCTGGACTGAGAATTCTGATCATGAACACTTTAAATGATATATCTATTTTTTTTATTTTTATTGTCACCCCGAATGTGATCTATTTTTAAGAAAATTGTTGAATTATATTTCTAGCATGTAGAACTGGATTTATTGGGAAATACTGCGAAAGACCTTGTCCATATCCCATGTATGGTGATATATGTCAACAGAGATGCCAGTGTGCAAGAAAGTTTTGCAACATTTCCATTGGATGTATAGATTTACATAAAGTAGCAAGTATGTTCCTCCTTCATGCGATATATTCAGATTAATATCCCAGATTTATGTATAGTTGATAGAGGTATTTGGGAAGACAATCTGATTTTTTAAGTAGACATAAAGTGATCTTTTCTCCGTAAAAAAAAATTAAGCATTCATTTTTTCACTTGTTCCTTATAAGCATTTCAATCTAAAAATGTATTGATAGAATAAGAAGAATATAACGAATATGTTTGACAACTTATTAAATGTGGTATCAGTCCAGGATTATTAATATTGATTCACATTACACCAAGTATTCACTTTGAATTAACGAATGTGGAAATGCTTTCATTAAGATTATTGAATTTAAATATTGAATTGTAATTAGAAAACTTTTTCTGGCCCACAGATCATTTCAGTAGTTTAAAAACTACCCCCCCCCCCCTTTCCAACCATTAAAATCAACAACACATAAAGGAAAAAGGTTAATAATAACACGTCAAATTTTATGTGCTTTCTAAATTTTAACATAAAGACAATGTACAAAATTCTGACTTACGGCTAAAACTGCTTCATGAGTGTCATTTAATTGAGCAGTTTTATTTATTCAGTTACAGGGAAAGGACTGACCACGGAAACAGATTTGGGATCCACCAAATCTGACTATTTACCATTGCACACGAAAAGAAACAACGGAGAAACCTCACTGATAAATTTTACAGCACAAGTTCGAACACTAAATGCCAAAACGCAAAAGGAAAGATCATCAATTAAATCTGCAATTGTTATACAACACACTAAATTAGCATCCGACACAAAACTAAGAAAAAATGAGGTCAACGTAGTAAATGATCAAAATCCCCTGCTTATTGGTATTTTCAGCTTTAATGCTCTGTTTGTAATGGCAGTGATTTTGGTTGTATTTTACTGTGGCTGTCGACGATACAGAAAGAAAAGAAAACAAAAGAAAGATAACTCCGCAACTGCTATCCACTATCACGAAATCGATGAAAATGCTATTGATGCGAATAGGGATTACGGCCCTTTGTATTCTACACACGTGTCTGAGGTACACAAGCCAGAGACTGTTGAAATAGACAACTTCCTTGTTGAGTATGTAAACGAACCGCTTAATAGGGAAAGGAAAAGTTGTGCAATTTCAGACTCTGGGTATAGATCGTCACAAACAACGCCAAAACATTTCATACATGAGGCATTTCCTACTGTTACGAATGAGGAAGAGGTCAAACCGATAACGGAGAGCGAAGTGTATTTGACTGTGTGTGATATTTGATAAAAAAGTGAAAATAAACTGTAACCTATTTACTACTTAAACCCCCCCCCTTTTTTTTTGGGGGGGGGGGGGGGGTAAAATAAAATTTACATGTGAGATTCCAATTCCAAGTATACATGCAAATATTCCATATTTATAGTGAGATAAATGTATTAAACGTAAAGTAACCCCCCCCCCCCCACACACACACACACACAATTTCTAAAGATTTTTTTCCCATTTTAGTACAGAAAATCGAATTTGATTTTTTCAGTTAACAGACTCAGATACACTGGTGTTACGATGTCAGAGGGGTTCGTACTACGGGGGGGGGGGGGGGGGTAGTGGGGGGTGCACCACTTTTGGGAGATATTGGAAAGTCCACAAATATTACATGGATTTAAAATCTTAAACTGTTAAATTTATGAAAATCTAAAAAGTGTTGGTACGCTGATTTTACGGAAATATGATATTTCTATAAATCCATCCGTCGGCCGACCAAGCTATAGGCCGAATCTATTATAGAACTACTTCCTGAGAATAATTATATTGTTATATTATATAATCATTATATTATTTCGTGACTTAGTTAATTTTCCCCAGAAAATCCGCAGATTAATACGTATATAACAGCAATACTTAAAAAAAAAACTATGATCTTCACAGAATATTGACTAAATATGTTAGAATACCTATATGGTTCAAAATATAAAAAAAAAACTGATATATCTGGGTTTGTTGTTGCACACTTCTCAGGCGTTAAGGGTTAGTCTCGCTTACATCCAAGCGATTAGGATGAGTCTCTCGCCCATCGAGAAATTAGGGCTAGGAAAGAAATAAAAGTTTGGCGTATCCTAGCGAACCATTTTACGTTCGCGATCAAAAAAAAAAAAAATATCTTGGCGTTGCACCGCATTTCACGCAGTAGTAGTTTCACTTCATAAATTTATGTTAATTGTTTTACCACAACATGTCGAATCATTGGGATATTGCTCATTCCATCGGACTTTGGCGTGGCCATCAGACTTGGGAGTTCCATTGTACTTAAACTTCTGCAAATTTTAAAATTTGGTTCTATTCCTTATCTTCTCAGAAATATGAACGCGTTATTATTCACATGAAAATTGTCGAGAGGAAATTTGTCATGTATTGTATTTTTATTCCCTGGACGCCATT